CAGTTGCAGAATCTCGAGATTCATTCACTAACAGTTTTAGATCTCTCTGTCGTTGGATAGTTGCTTCCTTTCCATCCGCAGATGTTATCTCCAACGAACAAGTTGCCTCAGCTGATTGTGATGACATTTTCCGGCACTAAATGGGTAGTAACAGATGGGTCAGTCACAGAGGTAGCTCCACAATCAGAAACTGTGTGACTGGGGTGTTTAAGTTTCATCTTTTCGTGTCCCATGACGACTGGACTGCCTAGCGAATCAAGCTTCTCTTGAAGAATGGTTAGCTCCCTAGCAACTGACTTTCTCAGGTCTCCGACACTTTGGAGCAACGCCTGTCAGATACACAATGGATCAATCAAAAATAGAAATAAAAAAGCAGAATACTAGCTAATTTCTGAAGCAAATATGAAACAGGAGACATGTTCAAAGTTTCAAGTAAATCCAATAACCCGCTAATCCACACCAATGGATTCCTTAAAAAATGCAGATATATGGATAATACAATTTTATAAACAATAACTGACTCTTATGGCACAGAGTTAACATTTATGAATAATTTTTTTAGTCATTGCAAAAAGAAAGGCACCATGTGAAGATAGGTGTGGGATCACACACCTGAATGGTATCCAGCTGCAACAGAAGATTCATTATGGTCTCACTTGCTGCAACCTTGTGTTTCAAACATCTGAATTTTGTTCTTCGCCACCTCAATTTGTTGACGAATTTGATGTACTTTTCGTAGCTTCTCAAGAGGTTGTGATCTTCTCACCTCAAATCCTTTATAAGCAGATCGAATAAGAACTGCTGCTGCATCTACCTGTGACAAAATTTTCCTTGCCTTCTTTCCATCAGTAATTATGCTTTCTGTGCTCTCCATATGCCTCTTCCCCTCGTCGAGTTCACGTGGTGCTTTATCAATTGGTTGTTGATCATCCTCCTTCTAGTATCTCTACTGTCTTGACTTTCAGAACCTTGAGTCCTGCTCCTTTGTTGGACTGTTGATCATTCATAATCTTAGCAGTTTCTTCATTTAGATTAGTTGTCATCATCGCCTGACTTTTCTTTTTTGAATTTTCTGCTTCATTTGACAATTTAACATAAGGTTCTGCTGCCTGAATCTCTTTTTTAGGTATCTGTTCCTTCTTATCTTTTACTGTTTGCTGTTCTCTTTCTGTTTTGTCCTTGTCGGCTTTCTCATTGACCTTAAGGACTGGTGGACTAGGAGACCTCGATGTGCCATTTACCATCTTCTTCCTTGGTAGTGGATCCACTCTCAACATATAGAAGGTAACTTTAATGTCTTGATCTGTGACAATTGTTTGCTATCTGATGACTTGTTAACTCCATTCTCTTGTTTTTTAGGTATTCTAAGGGAATTGTCCTTCTCCTTAATTTTGTGCTTCTCATCCATGTCCTCTTCTATATGCCTAACGGGGATGATCTTAGTTCTTCTTTCTTTCTCAGCTAATGCTTATCGATGCCCAAGAGTTTTGCGCTTGTCCTCCACATTTCTTAGTAATTCACCACAGTGCTCATCCTCAAGAAGTTTTAATGGAATGGTTTTTAACTTTGAGGGTGATTTTTCTTCAACATTTTGATCAAATTTTCTCACCACCAAATCTTTTACTGCATCTTCTGATTTATGATGACCAGGAATCCAGATTATTGGCCATGGGAACTGATTTCTCCATTTATCAGTCTGCAGACTCTTATTTTCATCTCCATCCTGTTTTCCAACATCAGCTGCGTTGATATCCATAGGAGTCCATACTGCGTTATCCTACACACCACAAGTGTTCTTCCTGCGTTGTCTGATGGCTAAGAAGAAGCGGGAAACGACGAGTCTAGTAATCTCTGCTCAATCCTCCCATGAGAGAGCAGCTTCCGCTCCCATTTTACCCCATTTCCCTCGCCCCACGAACTCTGGTTCACCCCATAACCCGATTCCGCAACCCCCTCCCAGATCAGAACGAACAAAAGGAACTCAAACATAACCCTACCCCATTAGGTTTCACATCATAAGGAACGAAAATTTCAAGAAGCGCGATACGAAAAAGGAACATTCAGGGCGGAGCATGGAAATGATCGAACCTGGTGAGAGTAACGGCGAATCGATCTGCGAACCCTTTCTTTCTTTCCTTCCCTTCTCTCTCTCCCCCGAATCCTTCGACTCCGGAGAAGAGCTTCACAATCCTTCTCCGGAGAATGGCGCGCAGACCATTCGCACGCTCGGCTCGAGAGGCTTCTCGACCCTTCTCGACTCTTCCCGCTCGAGAGGCGAAGTGGATCAACATCAGCCCGTTTACGGCCCAATTAAAAGACCGAAGGCCAGAAATTGACCCATGCTATGTCCTTGCAGACCGTTGAGCTGCAGACCGTCTGATTAGATTTCCTTTAATCATGTCAGATGCACGAATCGTAAGGCAGCACTGTATCCTATGGAAATGCGATCAGTGATTTCATAGGTGAAAGGAATTCATGGATGACTTGAGAGGTCACTCATTCGTTTTCTGGGCAACAAAATGCTTGCTGATGTCCATTGAATCAGCTCAATTTAGATTAAAGAAACAATACATTCTGCAAACAAAGCTTCCAAGAAACTTCATTGCGAGTCCCTGTGCTTCAATGAGCAGAGAATGACCATCGCAGTCAGCTAAGAAATCCAAGAAAATGGTCATGGCCTGCATGAAACAGATACAAGAAGGAATAGCAGCCAGATGACTGAAAGAACAGTAGGAAGTTGCAGAGGAGCTTACTGGAGGCATCCTTGCACAGCAGAGGAACATTAAAGAAAGGATAACTTGCATGATCTGATGTCTCATAGGTCCTGCCAAAGAAAGAAGCAAAGAGAGGGAAAGAGAGAAAAAGGCTTGCAAGAGCTTGCAGACAAGATGAGCTTTCTTGCATTTCTTAATGCCACACTCTCTCTTTGACAGTCAAGGCTTAGATTCAAAGTCCATGCACATGCGCTTCTGATGTGGAAGAAAAGGAAGTTGGACTGATCCAAAAGGTCATTCTGAATCTGAATCACTGGTTTCACAAAACAACAATGTTCTTAGTTGTTGGATGGTGCTCCTCAGGTCCACTGTGTCCTTTTCATGTGAATTTTAGATAGGTGAATCACCACATTACTGGTGAATAGATTTATATAAAGGTGTTTACTAGACTCAATTAGGTCATGGCAAAACACATTTTATAATGGTTTCACTTTGCAACTTAGTTCATGAATTGGTAGGTGCTAAGTGACCTCCTTCCTCTAAGAACTACCACTAGTCTATGTTGCTAATGAGTCATGAAATCTTGCCTTAATCTATTCTACAAAGAGGAAGGAATAGAGCTTCTTTCCTGCCATGGATGGAGAACACTCAGCATCCAGTAAGACTGGTGGCATCAGAACAAAGGTCTGTCACAGGCAACAACAAAACAAGATTGTAGAAGGCCAAATGTATGGAAATCTCTGGTGTAATTCATCAGTTGGTGCCACTGAATTCCACGCGAATCACATAAGCCAGATGAAGAAATTTCCTGAACAGCAAAGGTGTGGCTGAAGAGCAAGTCTTGCAGATTAGACTATCCCTTGCGCAAGCACCAAAATTGCCCATACAGAGGTGAAAATTATTGTTTGTTAATATAATAAAGATTTTTCTTGACATAAAAGGTAGACTAACCAATACGCAAGCTGATCAACAACTCACAGTACCACCTCCTTTAAGCTTGAGTGGCACCACCAAGTCACTAGCATGCCTGCAGTGTTCTCCAACTTCACCTCCCTCATTCGGCAGTGAACACTCTGAGGACACCAGTGGCTCCCAGGAATGCCTCGTGGCGAGCAGTGGAGCCACGAACACTTCTCATGGGTCCTTGGACAGTGTCGACAGGGGGAAGAAGAATCTTTCGTGGCTCGAGGGAACCCAGAAACAGCGGATGGCAGATTCGTCCGAATCTACCAAGCCCCGACCCTTCGCTTCCCTGAAATCCACCAGCTTGAAAAGTCTTAGGCGGTCCCACCTTGACCTCTTTCGGCAATCACCGAGAAGGGTGGGATTCTTGGTAGAGTGGGAAAAGGAATTGGTGTCGTCGCGTAAACCTACCCACCCACGTCCCGGAGGAAGAGTGGTGGCTCAGTTGGGCCCCACTTGTGATCTCGGCATACCGCTCGTTTTACCACGACGAAAACGTGGCAACACTTGTTTTGTCATCTCCGCCCAGTCCAGGTGGTTCCCACGTTCGCAGCCATTGATCTGACGTAGGAGATGACGTGCTCATAACAACGACCACGTGACCGCAACCCTGCGCCGCCACGCCTGTTGGGCGCCTGTTGTCCTTTCCTCGCGACTTTTGCATTTATGCCCGTTAAAAGCATGTTATTTCCGTATCTTTCCTCCTAGACTAAAGGATATTTTAAGTATTAAAAAAAATACTATTAAGGAATTCTAAAAATGAAGATATTTTATTTTTTCATAATCTGTTCAATTTTAAACACAATTATGACCTATTAGAGAAGGAGATTACTGGTCACAATTCCTTTTTTATATCGATAATTATATATTTAATTTTTTTAAAAAAATTAAAATTATATATAAATATTATATTATTTTTTTCTCTTGAAAGAATCGCATTAAAGGGATGAAGAGCATAAGCTAAAGGGATGATGATCATCACCAATAATTACGTTAGGAGCAACTGATTGACAACAAGTCTAAGATGAGAGAAGACGATAGTATTAACAAATAATATAATAAATACATAATAAGAATTATAAAATAATAAAAAAATTATTTTAATTTTTTTAGGATTATAAATAGTCAGAGGGTTATCGATAGTTAAAAAAAAAGGAATTTTGATGTTAAGTCCAGCAAAGACTAATTTTTATTTAACTGCAATTTTTAGGGTAAATTCACAAATACAAATCTCAACCTGCGAAAAACATATACATTAATATAAATGTCTAAAGGGGTTTCCATGCAAAAACGACGCCTACTTTTAACGCATTCGCGTCGCCCCTTTCTTTCAGGATCCGTGTGGTTTCTGGTTTCCGCTGCCGTCCGCGAGGGCGAGCGAGAAGGAGTGGGAAGGCAAGCAGAAGAAACAAGAAAACCCTAGCTTTTATCGCTTTACCGCTCGAGATCTTCGATTCCTTGTTCTTTGGAAGCCTCGATCCGATGTAAGGTCCCTTTCCATTAGTTTTGTTGTCTCTTATTGTTCCGGGTTGCAGATCTCCGGTGCATTTACATCCGCCTTGTATATTGGTTTTCTTCTTCCGTTTCCTAATCGGTTCTGAGGAATCTGGTGTTTTGATGGAATTTTCTCTTGCCGTGCCTCTGTTGGACGCAGATTTGTGCTTATTGCGTGATGTCGTCGGTATGGAGGGTTTCGATTTTGTTGAAAGAAGTTGTCTGTATCCATCGTATTCGGATTTCAGTTGTTCTCAGTGTTTTTTCACTTCTAGTTTGGTCTTTTTTTTTTCTTTTCCTAACGTCTTGGCCGATTTTATTTGTTTTATCGATATGATTCCTGTTGTTGTATTTTTATTTTGTGATTCTTTGTCTCGGATTTCCAAGACAGCTTTCCGTCTTTATTCTGTGGTTGAAAGTTGTGGATCTTTCTCGATATATGTCCATGGCCTATAAATAGACGGAAGGTAGTGCGATATGTTGATCTTCAAGTCGGTGCCACTAAGTCTTGTCCGATAGAAAACAAACATGAAGTAGTAGTAACTCTTTCTCTTGCCACTTTTTCACTTTATTTGATCCAGATAGATCTATCATCATCACCATCACCTATCTTTAGCATCGTGAGGTCTGGATCTGTCCGTTGCTCACCACTTCATCAAGTTTTTGAGGTTGGTATGCTTCTTCAGACTGACTGCAGATTGTAAATTGCTACTAATCTTTAATGATCCCATGTGCTGTTATATTTAGAATCCTGCGGTAAGCTTGTCAATGGGCTTCATGTTGTTGTTTGGTCTTATGGTGAAATCCTCTTCTGTCTAGTGCACATTTTTCTTGATTTTAGAAGATTTTTATTGGGTTCCTTATTATGTTTGCATAGTGGAGCTTTTTTTTTTTCTGGTTATAACTACTTGCTTCTGTGTTGAGGAACCTTTTATTTTCCTGATGTCTCGTACATATGCATAGTAGTAACTTTTTTGATCTTATTACAAAATTTATTTTTCCCATAATGTTTATATTAAGGATTAGAAATATACACTGAGGGCTTATGTACAGTGATATATATTATAAATGTAATGGTATATGGTGAACTGCTCTGAGGGGTTGCTTGGAGACATATCCTCATCTTTATTATGCTTTTTGGCAGATGCTCGGTGCATTAGTAGAAAGAAATTATTTAAGTGCCCAATACTGGTCTGATCCCTGACCCAGAACTAGATCTATACTATCTGAAATATTAGGGGCTACCACGTGATCCAGGCCTCCATGAACTGGCATCTCCTGATTGGATAGCAAGTTGTGACTGTTTATACTCCTGTTTTTGTTTGATTTGATCCAATGGTATTGGTTAGTTTAGATCAGGTTAGTCTTAAATAAACTGGTACAAGTCTACTTCGGATAATTTGGATTTGATCTGAAGAATTTTTTGTATGAAGAATTTGACATGAGATCAAACTTGAGCTGGTCAATAGCTGGTTGCTTCAATTAGAATTTCTTTATTTTTAAAATATATTTTCCTGATATTATGTCCTAAACAAATAAGGATCCTCTGCCTACTAGTAGAATTGAAGCTTTGAAGTATTGGAGAATTTGGGGAAAAAAATAACCTGTCTCTTTGTTTCTCAATCTTTCCCTTCTCCCGTCCATCTTCCTGTTCTCCCACTCTTTCTTCCTCCTCTTTTCCCTTCATTCCTCCCATATATCTTCTCTGCCCTGAACATGTGAAACAACAGGCTTCCTTCTTCATATAGCGTAGTATGCCAGTAAAATCAACTCAGTAACCTTGAACAACGTTCGTTTTTCAGCTGTCTAACTCTATTATAATGCTTTTCTGGTATTTACGCAGCATTATGTCTGCAGTGTGATATCAGATTAGGTTGGAAACAGATCTTACCTGGTTTGCAGTGCTTCTGCAGAAAGTTCAGGACATCCTTCATCACTTACAGATCTTTCAAATCTGCAAGGATCAACAAAATATCTATGACATCTTCAGTGCAGTTCTGTATATCAGGACCTTCTAGATCTTTGTTCCATAGCTTACAACAAATTGTGTCACTCGCTGAGAATTACATGTTTTAGAAATTGGTTTATTTCAATATTACTTGGATTTCTCACTGTACTCTGTCCTCACAACGAAGGATGTCCTAATGGATCTTGCTTCACAATTCATTTAATGGAGCTTTACAAGCTAATGTAAAGGGATAGATGGTAAAAAGAAAGGAGAAGCATGGAGACATCAAGAATGATGGGATTCTCTAGGAGGGTTTTGAGATGTAAATAGGATAAAAAGATGTGGACAGGAACAAATTCCAGGTTTTATGCGTCAGAAAGTATTACAGAGGAATAAGGATGTGACCATCTCAAAGATGGGGACTATTTGTAGGTGGAGTGCACCACAGAACCTAGTTTTCACAGTCATGGGTTTTTAGAAGTCAATATGTTTCACAAAAGAACTGTATCGCCTTTAAAGAGCAGGGGATAATGGAAATCAAACTGTATAAAGCCATATAATGATGATAGGTTAGACAATTAGAATCGATTATCAGACTATACAAATAGAAAAAGAATTTGAATTTAATAACTCAAATACAGAACTACTATGTTCTAATTTGTGCTTTGCACACATAGCATATCATTTTATAAAGATCCTTTATGATGCTTCAATGCAGCTAAGGATTTTGTGGCCAGAAAGTTCCCTTGCTACGCTTCAGATAAAGTGGATATTGTTGCCTCAAGCAGTGGGTTGCCCTGGAAAACATGGATACTTTAAATTATTGTATTCGTACAAGTGAAAATAAGATATCATACTTCCTTTGATATTAACACCGTTTAGAGAGCCTGTCGTACATGGGAAGCAAGCACTTCACTTGTATTCCCTTTACACTAGTCCTATGGTGCTCTTTATATCAACTATTTGAGTAAACATTTAAATAACTGTTAGGTTTACCTACACATCACTTGTCGCTGAGATTCACTGTGTATGAGAAATCCTGCCAAACAGTATTAAATTGATGATTGGTTGTTTGATTTTGCTTTGCCTGCTACGATTGACACTTTGTTAAGCTCTTGCATTTCTTCAACTTAAGATAGCAGGTAATAAGTCATCCTGTTTCTTCATTCTTTGTGTATTACTTTGTTTTCGATCTTTGATGGTTTTGATTCAAGTGTTGTGCATGAGCAAACTATGTGACCTTCGGAGTGTGTCCCTTTCCTAGAAGGAACCTATTAGGGACCTATAAGTCCTTGGGACCAGCATGTCCGGATGGTTCTTTTGGATGTTTAGGTGGAGTTTATCATTCTGGATTCATTATTCCAAGTCAATTTTCTTTTTTTCTATTTAGGGTATGACCGTATGAAAGAGTTTTGTGTTTTGCAGACTTGGAAACTTAAAATACCTATGTTTCCCTTAGCAAATTGAATGGCCAACTAATAATTGTTAGACTCGTCTCCATATCAGTTGTCGTTTCCGTGTGTTTAAAAATACATGTAATCTTTTATCAATTGATAATTGGTTGTATGGTTTTGCTGTACTGCAATATACAAGTATTGCTTAACTCATCAACTAATCGCAAATATCTCATTCATGGTTTTTATGTTACTTATATTTGATCTTAGATGGTTGTGGTTTTTGTACCATGTGATTTTCAATTTCTAAGGTGTGCTTTCTTTCATGTGAAATTTATATGGATTTGTTAACTCCTCGGAATCAACTCGGCCAGGCACTTCTACATTTGATTGTCTGGTCGGTTCTATTGTTGTGGAGGAATTTTCAAGTGTTATTTTTTGTCTTTTTCTTAGGAGAATGAATGCTAGTTGCGGGTGGCTTTTTCTATGTTATATTTGACTTTTATAGTTGGTTTGTGCAGAAACTAATTTGTTGGATCTAGCTCCAGTTATAGCAAGTAATGTTTTAATTAACTTGTTCAACCGGAAAATTTCACTGCCTGGGTGTCTTTCTTGATACCAGTTTCTGCTTGTCATAGTCTGATGCCGAACCTAAGACTCTACTAAGTAGTAACTCCTCGAAGTTTTTGGTAAATGGATCATTGTGATACATCAGGATTTGTCAGTGGAGGTTGCAATGACCTTTTCAGAGATCATGAATACTTGTTCTGATTCTTAATCTCAATCAGCCCCGGAAGTTAGGCAACTGTTTATTTTCCTGTCAACATATATTGTTGAGGTTGTGATCTTTTCTGCCAATTGCTGTTATGGATGATAGGCTTCGGCTTTTCAGACTTGGTTTGAATGTCTCACCTGGAAATGCTTTTAAGAGTTTGGATCAGTATCACACTGATACTATATTGCGGATTGGTTCCCCTTGCCCCTCTGGTCCTAACAATTTGAGTTTGAAAGGGATAAAGAGGAAGTGGTGTGATGTTGATGGAACTGGTACAGAAAATGCTTCATTAGTCTTAGGTTTAGGCCGACCATCAAGTTCTTCAGATAGCAGCAAGAAGAGCTCTGCAACAGCTTGCACCATGTCTTCAGCCAAGGAAACTGATGATGGGTCCTCCATGGATCTTGGACTAAATTTTGATCTTAATCTTGGCAATGAAAACACAGAAAGTGCGAAGAAATCTGCTGTTTCTGTTCCAAAGATGATGAACGCTGAGCCTAACTTTGATCTTCAGTTAAGTTTATCAGTAGGCCCATCTGAATCTGTTATTACTGGTGTAGTTCCAGACTCGGTTCATCATTATTTTCGTTTGGACAAACCAGTAACTGTTAGTCAAGTGCCAGCAGTTGACGAAGGATCAGTTGATAAAGGATCAACATCATCACGCCAGAAGCATGGGAATAAATTACTGCCACACTTAACTATCACTGACACAGTGGGAAGTTCTTTCTCCAATTCAATGATTTATGCCAGATCTCCTGGACAGCCAGATTCCTCTTCCTCAACCATGATGCACATGCTGAAAAGTTCAGTTGCCACTTCCGGGATTACTCAAGCACAACAATGCAATAGTAACACAAAAAATTGTCAGTTTCCTGGATGTGCAAAAGGAGCCAGAGGTGCTTCCGGACTATGTATAGCTCATGGTGGTGGCCGGAGGTGCCAGAAAGAAGGTTGCCACAAGGGAGCTGAGGGCAGGACCATCTTCTGCAAAGCTCATGGAGGTGGCAGGCGATGCCAGTATCTTGGCTGCACCAAGAGTGCTGAAGGTCGCACTGACTTGTGCATCGCTCATGGTGGTGGTCGTCGTTGCAGCCATGAAGACTGCACTAGGGCAGCAAGGGGAAAATCTGGTCTTTGTATAAGACATGGTGGTGGCAAGAGATGCCAAAAGGAGAATTGTACCAAGAGTGCAGAAGGCCGTTCTGGCTTATGCATTTCCCATGGGGGTGGCCGACGTTGCAGACATCCTAAATGTACAAAGGGTGCACAGGGCAGCACAAATTTCTGCAAGGCACATGGTGGGGGTAAGAGGTGCACATACATGGGTTGCACAAAGGGGGCTGAAGGAAGCACAACCTTCTGCAAGGCACATGGTGGAGGGAAGCGTTGCGCATTTCAAGGTGGTTGCACAAAGAGCGTGCATGGTGGTACCCTTTTCTGTGTAGCTCACGGTGGTGGGAAAAGGTGTGCTGCACCAGAGTGCACTAAAAGTGCTAGAGGAAAGACAGATTTCTGTGTTCGTCATGGTGGTGGAAAGAGGTGCAAGGTTGAAGGTTGTGGTAAGAGCGCTCAGGGTAGTACTGACTTCTGCAAGGCTCATGGGGGTGGTAAGCGTTGCTTTTGGGGCCAACCTGGTTCCAATCTCGGTAATGGTGGCCCTCCTTGTGACCGTTTTGCTAGGGGGAAGAAAGGCCTCTGTGCTGCACACACTGCACTGGTGGAAGATCATTGTGTACATGGTGGGCATCAACTGATGGCTGCAACTTCAGAGAATGGAACACTCAGCAAGCATGAGAAGATGAAAGAGATTATTGATCTAGAGGGTCTCCTGGAGATGAAAAATGGGAAGAGCACCCTCTTTAGCTTTGGTGGGTGTGATCAGAAGGAACATATGCATACTACAAACCCTCTTAATTCTAGGATGTCTTCTGTTCCAGAAGGTAGGGTGCATGGCGGGAGTCTCATCGCAATGCTGGCCACCGGTGCAAGTCTCGGTGGCGATTCTACAAGCCAAGTTGATGGTGGTAATTCCAAACAGGGGAACCGTGTTTGAAGTCCAAAATACCGGTCCCCTATGTTTGTTCCCTGTGTGACCTGATTTATCTGCGGCACTTCGTCAGCACACATCATTGGTGATTTAGCTGTTGGGTAGAAACATGCCTGTAATTCAACTGATCCAAATAAGGGGTAATTGTTCGCCTTGTGGGAGCCAATCCTTGCTGTAGGTTCTTCCCCCTTAATCTACATAATAGACAATGAGTTGTTCTGTTAGCATGTGGTGTTGGTGTAAATGTAAGCGCGATAGTTCGTGTGGTCTTTTTTCTCTCTTCTTTTAGGTCTGATGTAATTTGTTGTTGCTAGCGAAAAATGTACAGATGTACAGTTCTTAGGCTTATCATGTAATCTGGATTTCTACATAACAAGGTCCCTTGTAGAGTTTTGGACCATATGACGTACTGCTCTTTAGGATTCATGTTTGTTTGCTCTTTAAGTATTTTGATTGTTGTGGTCTCAAATGTTACATTAACACCCATGAGGTTATACTTCCTCAGCCTGTTAGGCTTCATTCATAATTGCTTGTCGATGTGGCCTAAATTGTCAGTGAGGGATGCACTGTATCTTTTTCTATTGGTTTCTCATATCTGTGCTAAAGGTCTTCAGGTAAACATCGATACAAAAAGCTTGAAAGCTGTGTAACAAATAGCATTATAAGAGTGCCCCAAGCCGAAGAAGGTTCTAGATTTCTTGTTTTGGCGACCATTATCGACACGATCCAACCGTCCATCAAGATCGAACCCGTCGATGATGGACATGGGCGGTCAGATCTTAACCCTCTTCTGATCCGCCGTGAACAATCCCTCCCCTCCCTCCTTCAACGGCCTCCGCCTCCAGTCTCCCCGAAGTCGTCGCTCCTCTCTCTCTCTCTCTCTCTCTCTCTCTCTCTCTCTCTCTCTCTATACTTGGGAAAGCGTTCCTTCCGATCCGCATCGCCGGCCCGGTGGACTGTTCTTCCGGGCATCTTGATCTAGCTCCGAATCCCTCCGTCGAAGCTGCCTGTCATCCGAATCTGTAGCTCTCTTGAGCGAGATGGGTGTCGGCACTTGGATTTCGCTTCTTATTGCATTCGGATGCCTATTCGGAGCTCTTAATGCCAGCGCTGGCGACGCGGATTCGCTCTACAGGTACGATAGGTTCCTTGTTTTATCTGAACAATGTTGGAGAGATGATACGGAAATACCTGTTTAAGTGTAACATGTTGATTGGCTTTGGGACAGTCGTCTATAACTCGACCTGATGTAGATCTATGCAACAAGGCCCCCAACATAAGTGTTCGACCTTTTAATTTTGTTCTTTCATGGATATCTAAATGGAAGTGATACGCATGATCTTGACTGGATTGGATTATAAGCTTAACAATGATATGCACAGAACATACTGAAACTTGATCTAGCCAAGTTGCACTTGATTTGCAGAATTTTAATGATAATTTGTTCTATCTAAGAATCAAGTGATCGATGATTAATTCAGAAAAATAGCATTCATTACTTGGTGTAAGCTCCTTGATATCAGTGACCACAAAAGTTTTTTATGTCGTTGTTAATCTTTGCTTAAGTTCTTGCTAGAAATAGAATGTTGTTGTAGGATCCATGGGTCAAATTTGAACAAGTGGCCTGCAAAATGAGATACCTTTCCTGGTGTGAGACCAACAATGCTTTATGGATCAGAGTGTTGGACAGTTAAGAAACAATATATGCAAAAAATTTGTATTGTTGAGATGAAAATGTTGAGATGGATGTGTGGAGCCACTAAGAAAAAAAGGAAAAAAATACTTTTATTCGTGAACAATTAGGTATCGCTTCGATAGCAAATAAGATAAGAGAAAATCGTTTAAGATGATATGAGCTTGTGCTTAGGAGACCTCCGGATGCGGTAGTCAAAAGAGATGAAATAATTAATGTTAGTAGTACGAGAAAAGATAGAAGAAGATCTAAAAAGACTTTAATGAAAATTATAAATAAAGATTTAAATATTCTAAGCTTAACTAAACATATGATTTTTTACATATCACAATAGCGGCAAAAGATCGATGTAGTCAATCCCAAATTGTTGGGACTTACGGTTTTGTTGTTGTTGGCCTGCATAATGAGATGAGTTAATCTCTTTTCCTTAGAACTAATTTGATATCGTTATCTACTGGGAAGTATTTTCGTCCTTAAATATACTTTAAAAGTTATTAAGCTGATCATTGCATCACTCTCAAAATGGAATAATACATCTTAGTGAATACAAAGTCTGGCTGCATTTTACAATAGTTATTTCAAAGAATTTCAGTTCGATTTGACTCAGAAGCACATTACAAAATTCTGGATAAAAGGTGTCTTCATGGCAAAGTGGATTCAATTATTGTGCTTATACTTTGGTTTCACACAGCTAAGTTCCAAGTACTATGAATTTGCATATGACCTATTCAATTATTGTGATTTTGATGTCACACTACTAAACATAATCAATTTGCCCCAGTCACTCACATCGTGCCACATTGTGGCTGTCACCTGACTTTGTTTTGTCTATAAATGAATGGCATGTTTTTTATGTTATTTTCAGCATGCGTAAGAAGCTTACTTCTTTTGACAATCAAAGCCACGATGCCCCCTCCGTTGGTCTCACATGGATCTTGGGCCTTTTGTATTCTCATTTTCATGCTGTTATGTGCTTAATTATATTTAGAGTTTTTAACTTATATTTCATTTACAAGAAAGTGACTGGATCATTCAGTAGATGTGAAGGACTGTTTTCTTGAACAGTTGATATGTGACAATGGTGCATTCTTGTACCGAATATCATACTTTTGGTGTGCTAGAGAATCATGTTATTCTAACATCAGTACCTACTATTGTTGAAATTATTGGCATCCAAATCAGGCACCATTTAATATTATTCAGATAGAGCTGCTTTAGTAATCTGTGCTTCTTGTTTCACAATGAACATTGGCAGAAAGCTATAGACCATTAAGATTTTCGAGTTTTTGATAAAGAGGTGTGTTACTGTGTTGTCTAACATGGTTAATTTTTTATGCTTGTATGAAATCTTGAACTGCTGCCTGTTTTAGTAAGTAAGCATTAATATTCTTTTCCTTAAGTTAGTAAGAGGTTTTTTTCAGCCTGGTTTTAGATTATTAAATATAGGTTAAACTTAAGGTATTACTTGGACCTGGATTTTCTTTCAACATGAGCTTAAAACTAAATTTCACACTTCATGACATGCCTCTAAATACCAGAAATTGTGTTGGGCAATGTGAAAAGACTGGAGATATTGGGGACCAATCCATTCGGCACTGCCAGTTTCAAAACAGTGATGTGCCTCTCGACAGTTCATGGTATATGCAAGAGCCACTTTACTTGCAATGGAAGCAACTGAACTGCAGGAGTGACTGCCGGTACTACTGTATGATGCAGAGAGAAAATCAACAGGAAAAACTTGGTCAACATCCTGTTAAGTATCATGGAAAATGGCCTTTCAAACGTGTATTCATTTTCCAGGTTTGTTCATTTCCTCTGGTTTGCAGATAAACTTTGTACAATGTTAAACTTATTTCATTTTATTACTTTGGTGGTAACTCCCCTTGTTTATGTTTTCTTTGCAGGAGCCTCTTTCTGCTGTCCTCTCGGCATTCAATCTATTGATGCATTTCATTGGCTGGCTAACCTTTTTCATCTTACTACGTTACAAGTTACCTGTTAGGCCTCAGAGTCGGAGGACATACTATGAATACAGTGGATTGTGGCATATATATGGTGTCTTATCCATGAATGCTTGGTTCTGGAGTGCTATATTCCATACTCGGTATCTCACCAAACTTGGTCCCCATATAAACTTCCATTTACAGCTTGATGCTTTCTATTATGGTGATGGTGATCAACCTATTGCAGAGACTTTGACTTGACGGAAAAGTTGGATTATTCATCTGCTGTGGCTGTGCTTGGCTATTCACTCATTTTGTGTTTACTAAGGGTATTCGATGTGAAGGATGAGGCTTCGAGGGTCATGTTTGCAGCCCCAATTTTAGCCTTTGTGACTACACATATCTTGTACCTCAACTTCTATGAAATGGACTACGGTAAGGTCTCTTATCATTTTCGAATTTGTTAGCCAACTTCCTTAATTTTACTTTTGATTGTAGCCATTCTTTCTATGCATTGGGAGCATATGTTTTGACCACCTGACGCAGGACATTATTTTTTTGTTGAGATTAGCTCGACTCTATGTAATGCGTTGAATAACTTCTTTCTTTATGGGCGGGGGTTAAGACTGCTTACATTGACTCTGCATATCCTGTACTGGTGGGAGTCTTGTGCATTGATTTCTTCCTGTTTTCATCTTTTTTGCACATAATTGAAGAACACAGGACACACTCCTAGCATGGAGGACGGTTACAACCATGCATTTTCTTTTTCTTTTTTTTTTCTTTTTTTTGCAAAGGGTAAGTGGCAAAGATGGTATTCGAGCATAGTACTTTGCAATAATCTGTCAAAAGCTAGCCAGTACCTTCATGACCATGCATTTCAATTTCCACCGTCATATAGCAGCTACTTCTGTGCATCGTTCTCTAAAGGTTACATTCGAAGATTGCATAACTTGGCAAACAACCATTGCACACTTTCTACCATAAGCACGCATGTTCTATAGAAATTTGGCTTACATGTCCAGGTACTAACAAATATAAACTCGAAGAGATTATCCTAATTATCTATATGTATTTACCAAAGAAGCCAACTAAGATAACTTAATGCACAGTTTCTTTTTACTATTTGAATTTGTCGAGTATGATAGTTAGAACCTCAATTAACATGTTAGTGAACTCGACACCACTTGGTGATTCATTTATCCTGGTGCTAATATTACCTTGTAAGATGTCTTGTTCTGTTTTTAAAGATTCTAGTTTCAGATTTTGATTCCTAAGCTTTGACCAAAAGATGCTAAGTGATTCTAACAGGAAATTTAACATTTATTATTGCTCATGACATCCTTGAACCTAAAGAAGACAATTTCACTTATCTCTCTCTCTCTCTCTCTCTCTCTCTCTCTCTTGGTACCATATCCACGACTTGTTTATTGTTTAAAATCATAAGTTCTTGTTATGTAGTTAACTATTATTAAACCAATATAGACCAGTGACATTGTAGAAACTAATTGATCCTATTTGATAAACATAATAGGTAAGACTGCATTGTTTGTTGCCGAAATAACCTCGCTATTTGTAGGAGTAAGACTGCATACTCTCTTAAACTCTACATTGGCAGTAATCTTATGCACTAGGCTATTCTTTTTAGCAATACTATTTCAACACGGTTTCAAGATTCTCTTTGTAAAGGTACAAGTATCTTTGTAGATGTTAATTATTTGTCTAGTAGATGTTGATGCTTATGGTTCTATCTCCTCGTATCATAATCTACTTAACATCTCAGATTAATATTGTCACAGTAAGGAATATAGCAAGTCTACAAAGAAGGGAGAGTTTCAACTTAGATTTCTCATCTGTCAGCCAAATCCACATGCAAGATTAGTTATCTCACTTTTAGTTGAATTTAGCAAACAGTACTAAATTCTTTAAGATACCTTTGGTGACCCTGCTTTATAAAGTCTTTGTTCTACTCCTGAAAGTAAGAAGCCATCTTGTCATCATGACGCAATGGTCAATATCTGTTGGGATGGCAAAGGATGGTCAAATCGACCATCCTGCTTCATCTCATTAAAGGTCATCTTAATGTATACAGAAAGCTATGTTCTCTTTGTTTTGAAGTTCAGTGAATATCCCAAATATGGCTTTGACAACCATTAACCCACATATGTTTCCCATTATTCTCTAATCTTTCTTTTTGTTTTTGGCAGGGTGGAATATGAAAGTGTGCCTTCTGATGGGTGTTTCTCAACTTCTGATGTGGGCAATTTGGGGTGGTGTAACTCGTCATCCTTCACGTTTCAAGCTCTGGGCAGTTGTATTCGGATGTTCTCTCGCAATGCTTTTGGAGATCTATGATTTCCCTCCTTTTCATGGATACGCCGATGCCCATGCTCTGTGGCACGCCACCACCATTCCCCTCACGTACCTCTGGTGGAGTTTCATCAAGGATGATGCCAAGTTCAGGACATCAGCTCTTGTGAAGAAGGTCAAGTAACTAACTCTTTCTCGACTGCCTCTATATCGGCCAAATGCCATGATCAGCATGAAAGAGCAGGTAATGTCATCATCCACTTGTATGTTCTTGATTTGTTTCCAATGCAGTGTTTAGTTGTCAAATATGAATAGAGATGCTTGTTTTTGTTTTAGTTTCTCTGAATTCTGCACTCTTGTTAAGACGAAGTGTGCTTGTTTTCGTTTTGAAATTAATTTAAGGTGATCGATTGTTTTTCATGTTTTACATGAAAAAAACATAGCCGACTCTACTTGATCGAATGAGCAGGGAGTTATCTTTGGTTATTTAGTTCTATATGTTGCAAAGATAAATTGCATTCGATACATTACATAGTTGTAACTTAGGGAAACAAGGCATGCCATGTGGTGAATGATAGGATAACAACGTAGATTAGCTTTAAGATTAGGGGTCGGATGTTGATCGGACGAGTTGCATTGGACACACCCGTAATGAACGACAAGCGGTCCTAAGGGATTATACTGTTGATAAGGGATCGGACATACGGAGATCCAAACGTCACGTTATTGCAATTTAATTTTCTTACAATTTTTATATGGAGGGATTTAACCAGCTTTATATGTTTCTTCTACCTGCTTCGAGGTGTGGGAATAGATACCGTTACCGTGATGTAAGAGTACGGCTAAAAAGGTTAGGACGTCGATTGCAACGTGTCATGGCCCGATGTAACGGTTCGTTGTATGAGCCAAGTCGACTTACGGCGTTACTTTCGAATCTTGCATGCCTGGTGGTCAAAGTCAAACGACCAATACGTGAACGATTGATGTAGAGCGTCTCGGTGTGCTTCGCGGTGTTCTCCTTCTCGTGCACCGCAAAAGCCTCCGCACGTAGCAATATTGTTCATCTGCTGCCGCTGTTTCAGCGACTGACTGACTGACGGACTGCAGCCCCTCTCTCTCGCTTTTTGCTGGCTTACACCGCCGTTAAAAGTTGGGAGAAAGAAGAAAAGGAGAGAGTTTGAACTTTGAAGAGAGGAAAGGCATTCCTCTGACTCTTTCTTAGTAATTGGTAGTAAAGGGTTTAAAGGTCGGCTTTCACCCCTGGCTCTCCCGACCATGGAATCCTTCACCCTGCTCAAATACTGGCGGGGCGGCGGCGGCGGCGGCGGAGGAGGAGGAGGAGGATCCACCGTCGCTGAAAACCTTCGCGCTTGCAGCGCCACCCCTGTAGTCGCCACCGCCTTCCTACGCCCCTCCTCGGCTACCACGGATGACAGCGGCGACAACGACGACGATGAAGGACCCTTCTTCGACCTCGAGTTCCCCGCCCTTACCGTCGACGACGAGGTGGAAGAGGGCGAGTTCAACTTCGAGCTGAGTTCCGTCGGAAATGGTGGCGGCAGCGGCGGAGGAGGGGGTGATGACATCCGGACTGAGGGTTTCTCCCCCACTGAAGACCTCTTCTTCAAGGGGAAGCTCGTCCCTTTGGGACCTTCCTCGATCGTGATCGCGGCCTCCGAGTCTGACAATAAACCCCAATTCCCGGCGGCCTCCATCCTCAGATCCGCCACCAAGTTTCGTGTTTTCTTGCTCGGGCTCCGCAAGCCCAAACCCACCGCTGCGGAGCCCAATGCCGCCGCCGTGGCTGGTGCCTCCCCGAGGCAGCAACTTCAGCAGCATCAGAGCAGGTTCTTCGTGAAGTTTAAGGTGGAAGAGCTGCCCATCATCTCGCTCTTCACACGGGACAACAGCTCCCGGAACTCCTCGGCCAACCGGGCGGTGAAACCGCAAGCGGAAGACACCGCCGTCTCCGTCACAGCGGCGGAGGAGAAGAGGCTGGCGAGGGAAGTCGTTCAGAAGTACGTCAACATGATCAAACCGCTCTACGTCAGGGCTTCCAGGAAGCACGGCGAGAAGCCGAGGCTTCCCGGAGAGCCAGCGCCAGGAGAGGTGGAGCCGGAGGAAACGGCGCCGGCTCCTGCTCCTGCGGCGAGCGCGGGCGGGGTCAAGGGCCTCCCGGCGGGGCTGAGGGTGGTCGGGAAGCGGCTGGGGAAGATCCGGTCGGCGTCGGCGACCGTGGCCGCGGTCCCGCCTCCTCCACCGCCGCCACAGCGGCGCGACGACACGCTCCTGGAGCAGCAGGACGGGATCCAGAGCGCCATCGCCCACTGCAAGCGTTCCTTCACCGCCCCGGAGAAAGGTACGCGAGCGACGACGCACCCGATCGTAGATACGGTCACCGGCGGTGTCCCTTAGTGTTCTTATTTGCTTTACTTGCTTCCTGAGGCCTCAGGCTCTCTGATCTCGCAGGGTCGCAGTCGCCGTTGGCGAGATCGAAGAGCGACCCGATCCGGGCGATGGGCGATCAGATCTGAGCCGCGCTTATTCCCGGCCGTCCGATTTTGGCAGTAACAGTAAAAAGCCTTCACTGTGTCTCATATCCTTGGTTCTCGTAGCAAGTAGAGTAGGAGGAAGGCCTTGCTGTAAAAATCGTGCGTTCGATCTATCCATGATGCCAAGTACTGGTTGTGTCGACTATATGTGGTGGGTGTTTGATTGGCGAGCGAGAGTGCAATGATGAGAAGGTGAAAGTGATGGGGCTGAGCTTTGCTCGCTCACTCTCACATGTGAACGAACACCGGAGGGGAGGGGAGGGGAGGGGAAAGATTCCCGTGGCATCGGGAAAGCTGCAGCATAATATGGCAATCTTATGGCAATATGGTGGAGCAATGAATGCTTTAGCTTCTGTCTCTGCTCTGTGTGCTTGGAGGCTTTCTGCAGCTCACGTACCCTGGAAATGCGCCACCTTTTTTAGCTTTTCGGCAGGGGAAAGTAGCAACCTCAGACCCCAAAAGACATGGGCGATGATACCTTCCGTTTTCTTTTGTTTTATTTGATACATTTATTCTTTTTAATATCTTAAATATCTTTTATCACCGTAGTTTTTTTTTTTTTCTAAAGCTATCGTGCTTTCTTTAATGAGGCTTATAGCTCTCACTCCATCATTTCGATCCTATCATCTTTCTCTTATCGTTTTTATCTCATTATCATTATCTCATCTTCCTTATTTGTCAGTGTTTACATCTATCTTGAAAGTAGAACAACTTTGAAATAATCACACCCATTCAAAGGATATGGTAACAACTAGGATGTCGATAACAAAGACGCTATTGTCGTGATGAAGGAAGCCAAACATTGATGACAATAGAAAAATATTTAACGTGTTAAAAAAAAATTTGAAGAGCATGATCCAAGAAAAGTTCGAAAAAAAATATTCTTTTAAGAAAAATCGTCCAAAGAAATATGTAAGCCTTTCTCCTAAGTCCCAATAAAATGCATGAAGAAATCACGTACCATTTATTAGAGAGAGAGAGAGGAGTCATTATAAAGTGGTCGTCTTCAGCGCCGCGGTTTACTCCAGGAACGTGATGGTTGGGAATAAGATAAAACTGGTGGGGGAGAAGAGACAAAGATGGATGTGGGAGTTGGTAGGGAGGGTTTATTTCTAAATGGTGTTGGATTCAGCGTTGTTGGTGGTCTCCCCAACATGACATGAGCAATAACAGGAGCAGTGATGCTTGTGATTCTCCGATGGAAGAAGACCATAATTTGTCTTCGACTGAGTCTGGTGTTGACCAGCAGCTCTGTTCCTGAGGGGGGGGGGGGGGGTTTGATCCTTGGCTTATTATTGGAAGGGCCACAGGCATCATCACCTTGTCCTCCAACTCTCTCTCTCTCTCTCATGGACTCGGCAGTCAGCACACATCTCTATGCTCCCGCCATTGTTTAGGCTGCAATTGGATGCGTTGATGTCAGTTGGCCTGCGTAAAAAAGTTGGAAGATAAGGTTAGTTATGCGAAAGTATTCTGACCTGGTAGAAGCTTTGAATGGGAGCACATGGCATCTTCATCCAGCAGCAAGCTCAAATAATTTAGGACTCATTAAGAACTATAAAAATAGTAGGAAATTTTCGTTTATAGTCATACAAAATTTGAAGTTTTGATCGTCTTAGAAAAACGTCCAAAGGACCTAACAACAGTGCAGATGAAGAAGAAGACACTAAAGATAGGAGGTCTCAGGTAAGGGGCAGTTCAAATTATATGCTGTAGTAACATGGTCAGGAGCAGTATACAAGGAACACTATATTATCCTTCTTGGATCAGCAGATGATTTCCATCTGGTATAGGCAAATAAAAACCTTGGGATACATAATGGATTGAAAGCTGATGGTGTTTCTGTTACTGCAGCAAGTGTTTGGGGGTCAAACTTGACATGAAAAAGTCTTCGATGGCTAATGGGAAGAAGAGGAATTACTCACAACCATGCAGACTATCATGGACTTTGGTGTATGAGCCTACCATAAAAGGTGAGGATACAATTTTCACTACCAGAGAAGTATGATCCTAATCCACAACAGTAAGTTCTAAAGTAAGTCAATAACATCCCAGATCATGCATGTTCTTTATGAATAAATATATAAATGCTTAGAGAAGAATGGACGCATACAGTAACATCTTATTATAACAAAAAAAAAATCAATAATGATAAGTAGCAAATAGCAACCCGAAAAAAAAAAAGAACATAATCATCAAGAAATGGTAAAACTGACATAATATATGTCATTGGCTAAATGTATCCTTGATGAAATCTTGATCAGCCTAACAGAGTACTTCACTGGAAAAGCTAATAATAAGCTAACAATTTGAATGGGTAAATATCAGAGAAAATATGTAGACACAAGATCTCTTTCGGGCACCAATTAGTGCAGGTCCATGAGAAATGTACATGCATATAAGATGAGCAACATGTAGTACCTAATAAGGGAAAAGAAAAAAAAGCATCCAAAAATATACAAGACAAGTATAATATTTTCATTAAACATCAAAGCAAGAGCCGATTTATTTGAAAATCAAAGAGACATGACAAACTAGTAGTACAATAAAGAAAAATCAAAAGAATATACAAGTATGATAATTTATTTGAAAACAGATTACTCCTAGTCAGATATTTTCTAAAGACCATCCCATCAAGTAAATATAGAGGCATGAACAGATTTTAGAATTGTTCTCAAGATCCTATCATCCTCGACTGAACCGAGTGATTTACTGTTTACAAAAAGAAGTTTCTGAACATGCCAATAAGGAAATGTTCGATTTGATGGTAGACATGCCACTCTCCTTCAAGAGGTTTATGGTTACACTTTTATGTAGGAATTCTTTTCTTTTGCAATTAAAACAAGGAGAACCAACCTTTTTTCTTTCAAGCCAGTGTAGTGGACCTGCCGAGGCCCGAGGAGGTACATTCCTCTCCCTCCCCTTTTTCAAATTTTCTTCACCTGGGTAGAGAATGACTAAAGAACAACCACAGTATAAACAACAAAGCTAAGTCACTAAAACAACAAAGATAGTAAATAAGTATCTCTGCAATCAGATTAGATTCATGTCAATATTAGCGACAAAATTCCTTTAAAATATATACTGCTATCTTTTTATAAAAAAAATAAAAAGTTTCAAAATGAAATAATAAAATGATTGGACACATAGATAATGAAGGTCAGTTAGAACATGACAGTAAACATGAGAGTTTCTGCTTAACATCAACTTGCAAAAAAATTCACCAAAACTTTTAACATTTGATGCTTCAAAATGTCTGAAGTGTAGATAAAACTAGGTTAATATGAAAGATCATGAGGATAGATATGACTACTTTATACAAGGAAGGGGATCAAATATTCTCCAGGGGGTGAAAAATACCTATAATATGTTGATTGTGATGTCCTAACTTAGCTCCACATTGGATATGGAAGGAGAATTGAACCAGTCTATGAAGCTCGATATGACCACTGTTTTTAATATTGGCTTCAACATGTTGAACCAGTGACTCAGACCTATCAAGTTAATGGTCAATATTCTCATCAAACATGGTCATGACAAAGGATATTACATGAATAAGACTAGCGGCACAACACATGAAACCACCGTTTAGCAGTTAAACACATGCACCGCATTCTGATAAGAGCATGCCTAGCGACTAAAGGTTGTAATACACCGGTTTGGAGAGAACCAAGTTAGTTTATATATCCACAAAGTATATTTCTATCTATCAATTTGAGCTCTGTCATGACCCGAGTAAGAGCTAGATAAGCTAACTGGCCTATCAAAATATCTAAATTGATAGTAATATATTCATCAAACCCTTATAAATCAATTTTAATTTTGTCCACTTTCGATGTGAGACTAATCGAAGTGCTATAATTTTTCCCACTCAAGGACTTAACGTTCTTGTCAAGGATTATCATAGCCTAGATCAAACCCTTGCATGATACATGTGAGACGTAGTCCAAGAGTGGCTCCATGCCATGACGAGATGATTCCATCCACAAATAGACCTTTCCTACTCGAGTTCTCTCACCATGCTCAACTACTAGGTCGGCTATGATACCAAATATCATAATTCGGGCCTGATGGGCTAATTGGCCCATCGACTTTATTTGGCCTAAACTACTAGCTAAAATGTTTAAGTTGAAGTTGATAGTAATACACTCATCAGACCCTCATAAGTCAATCTTAATCTTGTCCACTTTCGATGTGAGACTAATTGAGATGTTTCATAAATGACTTATGCCTATCGGGTCCATTATTCCATCAATTCAATATGTGACAAGAATCCTTGATCATGTAATAAGGTTGCTACTTTGCAACATGAGTGAATATGATTCAAGCCAGAAAAAAAATAAGACTATAGCTTGAATAATACATGAACCACCTACAAAAGCCTCATGCATCGAAGTACCGTATGCTTGGTTGATGACTTAATACCTTTAGTGGAAAATACTTGGCAGGTTGGAACATTCCATAATTTTACCAACATGAACAAGAGATTTGGGGTCTTTCAAACACAAAAATATGTAAATAACAAGAATTGGGGATCTATATGCAAAAACAAAAAAATGTGGGAGACTGATAAACAAAAACAAAAAGATGTTTAAACTATAAATAACACTATAGATTTATGTATTGCATAAAGTACGAGGACTTATCAAATGAAATACAACTACAAAAACATGAACAAAAAATATGAAATCACTGAAAATAAATATTCAAGAAATATGAATAAGCAAAAGACTATGACATATATGATATGTTATTCAATAGGAAGGGAGGATTGAAAACCATATTGCTCAAAAGAGAAAAAATAATGGCGTTGCATAAGAGTGTCACATTGTAACCACATCACAAGAGAAAAAACAGTTACTTAAAAGTCAGGTATGCTTTATGAATCAAAATGTTCACAGATTAGAAGAAGAGGTAAGAATGTTGAAATGGATGTCTGGTGTAACCAGAAAGAATAAAATAAGATTTGCAATTATCAGAAGTGGCATCAATAAACAAGCTAATATGGTCTGAATATATCTAAGATAATAAGATTTGATTAAACGATGAAAAATAATATGGCTGCCATTTCACTATCATTGACTTACCGTGAACATAACTTATTGACTAGAAAAACTCCACACAGTTGATCAAAACAGTTGGATCAAGCTTAATCATCATCTCATCATCATGCCATGCATTCACGTAGAAGCGGCATGAGAACAAAGCGGTGAAAATGGTCAGCACAAGTAGAACAATAAGCATGACATATCATAGATCCATTGATCTTCCTCCTTAAAGCATTTCAAAGATAATACTATAATAGCACCAACAAGATGACAATCAACATCTATATTGCGTAATAATTAAGAAAATCAACGTCAATCAGGACATTGCTTGCATCTGACTGTGGAATTCTACTATTCAAAAGCTAATTTAACTTGACATAATGGTTTCAACAAACTTGATTGAGAACATAAGGAGCTTTTACTATCACCATAGAAATTACTAAAAGATTATTACCAATATGCTCATCTCTACTTCGGCCTTTGGATAAACATTTATGTTTTCTTTCGCACAATAGAGTAACCATTATGAGGACACGGAGAAACATAGAAGGATTCATTGGTACAATGGAATTATTAATTGCTACTGTTGTGACTTGATATCACCAAATAATCTAATTAATAAACAATCATATTCTTGCAATTCATTACCTACGGAAACAACAGAAAAGAATTTGTGATCAACTCTTGTTCGTTCACCAAGTCTATTAACTGCCAAAAACTACCGAGAAAGAACTTCATGAACCCATAAAGTTAGTTTTCTAGATATTATTAACAAACATACATGTAAAAAGAAAAGGCATGAATGATGAATGAGGAAATGGAAAAGCACAAGAGGTAAATGCCTAAGAGCTACAGCTACCAATATTCCCTTTTCTAGTTTTCTGATGATAATACCAGTGAGAAAAAGAAAAACTGCAAAGAAACTTGAATCGCAGAGGACAATGATTGCCTGAGCTCACTGTAGTCTATTAATTTAAGAATATCCACATAGCCATGTCGATTTCAGCAAACTCGCTCTAAAAGGCGACAAAGAGAATTGAATCCAGCATATGAGATATGTACCACTCCATTACCAACATAGCACGGTTCTGTTCTAGCCTTCTCATAAACTTATTTACTTCCCTTGGTCATAGATCCGTACCCAACACTTCAGCCAAGAAAGATTTAATTCTTGCAAATCACCAAAAATAATGGCTTCTTCATCATATGAACACAATATAAAGATCTAACAGAAGCAACAACATGAATTGACACAGAGGTGTGAAAATAAAACAAGCAGGCAATCACCTCCATGTTCAGCAGAACTTTGTCTTGTCATGTGTTCGTTACACATCAGTAGCACACAGCGAAAGAGAAAAACACAAAAGTTTGTTGTTTTTTATATTTATCTAATAAGAGGGGGAAGACTACATCACCAGGGAGGAGTAGATCCCTGTCTTGTTGAAGGAGATCTTGATCCTAAGCTCCCATCCCTTGAAAACCTCGTCTTCTCTTTTGGGGTGCTTGCGAATGGGCTAGACCCACGATAGCTAGCTCGAAGAGTCTCATCCACGGAGCGAGAAGACTTGGCAATGGCATTCCTAACAAACTTCTGAGCAGCTGGAGAAAGTGTTCGCACACTTGGGCTGGCACTGCCTCCTCTAGCTGGTGATGGCAATGGTGGCTTTTGAAACATCTTAGACCTCTCTCTCACCTTTCGTGCAGCTTCCCTCGCCAAAGAATGAGCTTTCACATCCCGAGATGAAGGCAAAGGGATCCTAAAGTGAGGCCCATCACTGCTTCCACCTATGCCGGCGGGCATCTCCTCGAGGTCTAATCTCAGAGGTGTACCCTCTATCTCTCCCCATGTCATGAATGGGGATTCATCAACACCTGGTGCAGGGGACGGAGTCCTGACAAAGCTGTAGCCATTCTCTCCTTTCTTGGTTGATTCCTCAAAGAAGGGGTTCGGTGTTTTCCTCAAATCCTCCAAGTCATACTTTTTAGACCTCTCAGCCTCCCGATCAGCGAAAGGCCAAGCAGCCCCAGTCGGAGTGGTACCAGCTACCGGGGTGTAGAGAATTGCGACAGACTCCTCGTCCTTCGTGGGCCTTGATTCGGATGCTGATTTGCCGTGAAACCGGGTGTTGGAACGGTTGATCTCCTTGGTGAGGCCCTTGAGCCGCTCGGCCTGCTCCTCCTCGGTCAGTGGCACCTCGCCCCTGTCCGCCGGATCATACATGAGGAGATTCTTCGCCGTGTACTTCCAACCATCCAAGGTGCTAACCGGCTGCCCGGAGGTTCCATATCCATCGGTGATCCGGTCCCTCTCCACGTCTTCTAGGGTTTTAATCGGCGTCTCCTTCTCGCCCTCCAACAGATGGGCATATTTCTCTTTCCTCTTGCGATTGACCTTCTCCATGATCTTGGAGAAGCTCTCGTTATCCTCGCTAGTGTACCGACCAAGGAACTCATCCAGCGAGAGGGAGGTGTCGACGTCGGCCAAGGGATCGTCGTGCGTCGCGGGGCCTGAGGGACCATCACCCGCGGGAGGGATCGACGGGGTGGAGCCGAAGGGCGTGGCGGAGGAGGGGAAGAAGGAGGATCCGGGGGTGCGGGTCCGGGAGCGGCGTGCGGAGGCGGTGGCGGCGCCGGGTTCTCCAGCGGCGGCCCGGCGTTCGAGGATCTTGAGCTGGGCGTCGCGGATGAGGACGGGATCGCCGGAGCGGACGGCCTCGAGCCAATCGAGGCGGTCGCGGAGCCTGGGGATGTCGGGGAAGAAGTCGCGCTCGACGATGCGCTCTATGGCGGCGACGTAGGTGTCCTCGTCGAGGACGGCCGCGCGGCGCTTCCGGGGGTTGCCGGCGGCGACCTCAGAGGAGGAGGACGGCGCTCCATCGGCAGTCGAGGGGGTTCGGGCGGCGAGGGAGGAGGAGGAGGGGGGAGTAGAGATCTGGCGAGGGGAATGGCCGGGCGACAGAAGCATGTTCGCTGCGTGCCGGTGGGGATTCCAAGAACCGAAGGCACAGATTGGGAAGTTGAAGAAGGGTGGGGGGATCGAAGGAGGGTATGGAAAGGCTCGTGGGGTGAGGAAGCCGAACAAAATTAGGGCTCCGATCGACGATTCCTACTACAAGTTGGATGGGTCAATTTGCCCTAATTTTGACTTCTAATTGAAGCTAGAAATTATTGGTCATCGACGACAAACATTAATCTCACGATTAATTCAAAGTTGGTCGAATTTATAATGTATTTTCATGTGGTCTTAAAATTAAAATTAAATATTCAACGTTTTAAAAATATATTTCATATTTAGAATAATTTACTACGAATAATACTTCATAATTGGTTTTTCTTTTTTTTTATAGAATTTACTCGAGGCATCCAAATCTGTTGAAATACCCAAAAAGCCTCATAATCCGTTCACGAAATCACCAAATTAAACTTCGAAAATTCCTATGATAATAATAATAATAATAATAATAATATTATTATTATTATTATTATTATTATTATTATTATTATTGCGATGAGTTGAGCAAACTTTTATGAAGTTATACTCGTAAATAAATTATGTTACATTTGTAAATGCATCATAATGAACTATAAAGTCATTAAAATCAATAAGAATTATATAAATTAAGGGGATAACTTTTAGTATTATATATTTTTTTAATTGTTGTAGTATGAGATGAATTGAACAAATTTTATTATAT